GTTCACAAGCAATGACTAATAGCAGTAACATAACACCCCAAGTACCAAGCAATTTACCTCTAGTCCTTTTGATAACCATGCAAGTGGCTTCAGGTTCACGAACACACTGGATAGGTTTAGCTCCCTCTAGTTCTTTTGACAACCATGCAAGTGGCTTCAGGTTCACGAAACGCTGGATAGGTTTAGCTCCGGTACAAAAAGGTTCAAACCTGAGAAGTCAAAATTTTAAAATAGTTCAACTAACAAGAGCTTGTGTACCGTCTTGGATAAGTTTACCTCCATCAAAATCTTAATTCTCTCATATTACTCAAGGATGTAACTTATTAGCTTCTATAAATATCTAGAATCAGCAACTGTCTATGATTTATTAGGATTAACACATTTACCGGAAGATGTATTGTTGATCTGCATAATTACTAAAAGAGCAAAAACAAACATTCTGCATATATATCACTGAATCTGCATATTATTATCTCTACGTACTGGCAAAACCCGTACGAGTTCAACACAGAGACACATAAAAAATAGAGAATTATGTTATTGATTGGCCAAAGAACAAGCAACAGTACAATGCATCTCATGTCAATTTCCACAATGCCAATGCCGAAATAAACCTAATCCATATTTTGCAAACAATGAAGTCTCATCCATGGTTTACAAACAATTTTAAATAGTATATAAAGAGTCATCCGAGTTGGCAAGTAACATCCATTAAAATAATTATGCTTTTCAATGACAATCACCTCCACAAGCAAAACTACAAAATGAAATTTGTTGCATCTTCATTAAACCGTCAGATGTATACGAACGGAATCAATCGCGTGCTTGGAGAGGAGTTTGCTAGGGTTTTGATCCATAGAAGCAACACGGAGGAAAAAAGGGACACATGTGGGAGTAAGGGTTTCTTCTATACTGCAACCATGGCGGGCTACGGAGACGAGCCTGGCGGCGTCCTTAGGAGGCCAGGAGCTCCACAGCTTCCTCGATGCCGCTGGCATAGGTTTGAGTCTGTGGTGTCAAATCGCCAGGTCACCCGCGTCAGTGCTTGAATCGCCGTCGTTGAACTGCATGTTCATCCACCTGTCGTTGTTGCATGGCGTACAAGCAAGTTTGCTGACAATAACTGTGTATTATGGAGCAGCGCGTACCTTTTTATTCCCTATAATCATTTTCCTTGCTTGTAGACAATCTGAATCATTTATACAGAAGCTACAAATGTTGGTGCAAGCTAGCCATCATCTTCATGAGTCGACCCCAAAATGCATTCCAAAGCTAACAGTTGGGTCGATCGTATCATCCCTGAAATGTCATTACAAGAAATTCAGTGAACTTCAAATAAAAGCACAATGGTAGGACGATTGGCTAAAGCGAGTAATGCACATGCAACATCGAAGGTAAATCTCTGGCCTCAAAACTTGGGTTTCCTGTGTCATAACAAAATATGGTATTGGCACTTAAATATCTATATAAAAGTTCAGAAGTTGCTTTAAACGCTTATCATAAGAATCCTTTTTTACAAGATAACTTGGGGCTTCGTACACCATACCAAACATAGTTCAACAGGAAAAAAAATTAAGTGTCTAATCATAGCGAGCTAGTAGCCCTATAAATCCCACGAATGAAATAGGTACAACCATGAAAGATTTCTTTCTTGACTTGATCATTTTTAAAAAGCTTGTTCACATAACTGGAAACCATTGCGAGGATTGTCCCTCACCTAGAGCATCGACTCTACAAATATTACACATTTTGTCACTAAGCACTCCTGAATCATACGGTACAGGCATGGAGCACACGACGCAATAGAGCGGAAGAGAATGATGCACCTGAAACTTCCGCACCACATTAAGGTTCGTGGGATTCTTGTCCGGTGAAACAACTTGGCATATAGGAACCCAGATATACCAGCACAACTAAATTAGAAGCAATGAGGCAATGCACATATAGCCAGAATTTTATAGAAGGATCACGCGCCTTGTGAGCATACACCATTCCTCCAGCCACTTGTAATGGCACCATGGAGCGCACAAGCTAGGCAGTTGAGATGTATCCTCCGTTGCCCCGGTCAAATGCGCGGAAGGCCTCGGCGACCTGCAAGTGGTCGACTGAGATAGAGGAGCGACAAGGTCAGAGGAGAAGCTGCGAAGGAGAGGGTGACCTCGTCGGCGCTGTTACCATCACTGTGCCGATCTCGTCCCGTGCGGGGTAGGAGGCCGAGCGAGTGGGAGCGTGATTATCTCAAGCTTGCTGGTCTTGCCGCTGTCGTCGACGTTAAGCAGGATGTCCAGGGCAAACGTTTGATCAACGCAAGCAACACTAATCTGCTGATGGTTCAAGGCAGCACCCATTCATCATTTATATGCATAGTTCATGCCTGCAGCCTGCACTGTAGGACATCTGATAGGTGTGCTCCTGTAGTTCATTCAGTGAAAATGAAAAGTTGAGTCGTGAAAAACCTCTGAAATACAATCTTGGCTGAACGATTTCCAACGGAGAAGAAATCAATGAAAAACTTACAAGCCAGAACAGCAGCAGCCCACGCGTCCGTGCCAGGGGCCCAAGGCTCGCCATCGTCCATTGACTATACGAGACCATGGAGGGAGGGGAGGACTGCGGAGCACGCGTCCAGCACGGCACCATGGGGTCGAATAGCACGAGTCCATATCGATGAAGGGCGGGATGCGGGTTGCGGTGTACCAAGCATTGGCGAGGCGCGGTCGTGGAGGTCGAGCGGCGGTTGAGGAGTGGTGGATCCCGATATCCCGTTGCACCCATGCACAGTGGTGAAGGCCGGATCCCGTCGTGTGGGAGGATATGGGGTCAACGGCGGATGGATCTGAGTGGAGGCCGCGGCCATCGCGGCACCAGTGGAGAGCGTGGTTAGGCGGTGTCGCAGGCGGCGATGCGGAAGGCTGCGGCCGCCATGGCGTCCGTGGGGAGCGGGGGCGGCGTAGTAGGCGAGAGGGTAAGGGCATGTCCAATGCGGACGCTTAGCATGGGCGCCGTGGTATTATTCCCGGCCAATTAGCGGTTAATTGACAGAATCCCAGCGTCTGATGAGGCGTCGACGCAAAACTCTGCATCGAGCGCTAGAGCCTTTTCCTTCCCGCAGCAAGCGCCCAAGCCCTTTAAATTAGCCAGTGTATTAGCATCGGCCGTTGTAAGGCTGGGCGCTTAGTCACCCATTTAATTATTTGATATTTTATTTTGTTCTCTGCTAGCGCCCATACAAGCGTCGACCATTGTTGATGCCCTAATGGGGTAGGGTGTGAGGGTGGGAAGGATTATGTTTCATCACACGATTTTTTCTGGGTTTTTTTCACCTGCTCCACGGGAATAAAAATCGGTGGGGGTGAGCGGAGGGAGTTGCGATCGATGGGAAGGGGAGGAGGGACGAAGGAAAGAACGATGTAGGAACTGTGCCATTAGAAAAGTTCTTTTTATGTGCCATTAGGAAAGTTTGTTGTTAGAAAAGGCGAGGATCAATAAATTAGGAAAGTTAAGATTTGGAATTGATTGCTAATGAAGCTGGATTTTATTGTTGGGTAAGTGCTATCGGATCCTGCCTATTTGTAACATATCTCTACTCCTAATGTCTCAGTTGGTAGGTCGCGTTCCGGGTTTTATTTTCGTCCCACCTTACCTGGTCTTTTTTGGTACTTTTTTGATACTTGCTCCCACCTCCCGCTCAGCCGAGACGGTTTATTTTCGTACTCCCTCCCACCTCCCAGGTAGTTTCCTCCATGCAAAAAAAATCGAACCAACCAATCTCTACTCCTAATGTTTGGTAGTCTCCGTTCCGAATTTTTTTTCGTCCCACCTTCAATGGTTTTTTTCGTCGGCTTTTTTTTGTCGGTTTTGTTTCGTCACATCCCGCTCCCACACCTTTGTCCACCGGTTTTCAGAATCGCAAAGGAAAAAAGTTCTCTCTCCTCCCACCAGCGGCCTCGATCTGGGATCGACAGGGCCGCCGCCGCCGTCGCCGCGGATCCCACGGCGCCACCTCGCCACCGTTGGTCGCCATGGCACGGTGTCACCCCGCCGCCACCTCAGCCAAGCACCGCGCCGCCCCTCCAAACCCTAGCCCGCCCCCTCCGCCCGCCGACGGATCGCTTCCGCTCCTCCACGCGGCGAGCCGCGGCGACCTCCGTCTCTTCAAGAGTACGTGGGCGATTCCGGGCGGGTTTTGTTTGGATCTGGGAGGCACTGACTCTCCCGTTCGTCGCGTCGCAGGGCTGGTGAGAGATCTGGATCAGGGTAGGGGCCGTCCCAGGGAGGTCGTGGAAGCTGCCAAGGACCAAGGTCTCGTGGCGCTGCACTTCGCTGCCGGGAAGGGAAGGCCACGGGTGTGCAGGTACCTGGTCGAGGAGCTAGGGGTCGATGTGGACGCCGTCGACGATGGAGGTGCGTGCCTCTGCCGTTTAATTTGCCTCTAAACTGTAAATGTGTCTGAACTGTACTCCTATATGGCTCGCGTTCAGAATTGGGCTATAGGAAACTGTATGTTGACCAGGAATTTACAACCGTCATGCTATGTGGATCTCGGCGGCGGCGGTGGCGGCGGAGGCTCCTCCCTCTACCCGCCCGCCGCGCTACCACCTCATCTCGCGCTCCTGACATGCCGAGGGGGCGAGAGGAGTAAGAGAGCAGGGACGAGTGCGCAGAGGAGAAAGATGCTTGCCGCGAAGCTGCCAAGCGGGAAGACAGATGAGGAGCGACACTTGCGGAGGCGGCCGAGATCGGGTACTACATCTTAGATCTTCACCGTCGTCTAGGTCAGGCCTCCCTCAGATGCCCTGATCCTCCATCATCAGGTTCTCCATCTTCTTAGATCTCGCCCTCCCTTAGAATAGTCTGATCTCTTTACTTTTGGGTTTCTAATATATATGATTGCCTTACTACCAAGATTGCTCTGACTGTGTCTTGGTATTTACTAAGATGAAAAGATCCAGTTCTTTGCCGGTGGTTGTTTGATCAATTGTGTGAGGTATCTCACATGGCACCTGAATGCGTATTAATGGTGTCAATCTGTATCTACATGTCGTGTGGTTCAAAAGCCAAAAAGGAGCAGCAGGATGGCCGGTCCAAGCTTGAGCAGATTCTGTGTTGGGGTTCGATGCTGAAATTCATTAGATTTCAGTTCTGTATAGTTTCTGGTTGGTTGCCAATGAAATAGACTGTCCAAGGCGCCTGAAGAAAATGTAATCCAATGGTAACACAATTAATTATTTGAAGTTGATTAAAAAATACAAAGAGGGTGACTCTGCTTCGTCTTCTTCGATTACGAGCTCCTAGCATGTTTATTTATTTATTTCCCTCCAGTCGAAATTGCGCCAGTGCTGGCCCTTCCCTTCCGATCCAACGGAGCACTTGCTGCCTCGTGTAAACGCCATTTAAATTTGTGCTTGCAGGTGACTGAATCCCGCCGAGTATTATTAGGCGGAGGAAGGGACAGAAACAGGGCACGCCACTCTGCATTTTTGGTCTCGCCAAAACGACTTCAGTATCAGCCAGGGGGCTGTGCATCACTGGGAATTTTCCATTTGGAAGGTCCAATTCCTGACCATGATGCTATATGAACCGCAACCTGGAACAGTGAATCCTGATTGCGAATGTGCCCGCGGCGCAAGAGAGGAGGGGGCATCAGCTTGAGTACAGCCAAGTGGCGGGACAGACAGGCGCGATGGCAATGGCAATGGAATTGGCCGACAAATTGCTACTGGTGCTCCAGAGCTACTCGCTGCCAGTTTGGGCCATGATAATCTCGGGGCTCTTCGTCGCCGTATCACTCTCGCTGTCCATCTACATGCTCTTGAACCACCTCTCGGCCTACAAGAACCCAGAGGTCGGTTGCTTGTTATCATCAGTCGGTGTTGAATTTCTTATTTTCTATACAGCAGGGTAAATTGTTGCTGGAGCTGTGTTCGTGTTTGGACTCACCGCTGCTGCGTTTCTTCTTTTCCAGGAGCAGAAGTTCCTCGTCGGCGTCGTTCTGATGGTGCTGATATACGCAATCGAGTCGGTAAGGTGGCTATGCCATGTCTTGTTCAAGTGCGCGGTCACAATGTTGTTGGCTGGGAGAGGTCGATCCAGCCGTTAACTCTTGGCGTGGACCAGTAGGTTCAATTTCAGCTTTTATGTAATCTTTGTGTTGATTTCTTTTGAATTGCAAAATCATTTGCTGATACTTTTCTCCCCTTTCAGTCATAAAATGTAAGGTGACCTTCCACATTTAGTCCGATATTTTGTTCATACCTTGATTTTACTTTCGAACCGCCTTTTCTTTTAAGATTATCAAATGATATCTTTAACTATTTTATAAGGTACAGTTTCAAATTTAGTCTGAGATTTTTTTATCGTACTTTGAGTTTAGTTATGTGTTATAATTGATATAGTTCTTAGCTAATTTGACAAACAATGATGGCTCCAATGCCTATGTCGCTTCTTTGCTACAAAATGTAAAATGTGATTTATCTTTTGCCGATCTTCGTCAAAGTGTTTTTGTTTATACATTGCAGGAACCCATAAGCCAATAGTATTAGGTTTAGATGGCTTTCCAGGGATTGAAGTGGTTGGAGCTGTAGGCCGAACTCAAATTATTTGTTTTTTCAGTACCATTTGTTAATTCAATTGCAAACATTGTGCTAATAGGTAAAGCTTCTGTTATTTACACCTTTTTTATTTAACAAAATTGAATGTACAATTAGGCGTTTAAGTAAGTTTTCTTTGTGTAGATACACCATCTAGCCTTACTCACGCCCAACTCTTTTTATCATTCACTTCCAACTATATTTTTCACTTTGTGTAGATAAAGACATGTCCCAATCTTCTTGGTCTGCTCACGTATGGTATGCATGAATCTCTAAGAATAATGTGGAATCATCTCATCTTCATGCTACTTCGCCAAGCAAGCTTACATATTTTTTGATCTATAGTTCATTTTTAATACAGGAGGCGATCTGAATTAAAGGAAGAACTCTATGTTGTCTGCTTGAATCAATTGTTCATCTCTACATTAACGAATAGGTATGGAGTTGCTTACTGTTACTTCAAATTATCAAGATTGTCTAATACTTGGTATTTAGTGATTAACATACCACTAAATATAATATCTCAGTTGGTAGTCTCCGTTCCGGGTTTTTTTCGTCCCACCTCCCATGGTTTTTTTTTCGTCAGATGACATTTGTTTTGTTATTTCTGATTAGAGCTTGTTGTGTCCATGTATAAATATTTTTGGGAGCGTACTATGACATTTTTGTGCCACGACACATTTGGTTTAAGTTTTTTAGAGCAAATGGGTGTATATATCATGATAATCATTTTCTAAGCATGTTCATGAAAATTACGTTTATGCTGGATCATTCCGAATTTTACTAACCTTGCCGGTAATGCATCTGTGCATGATCTTAATTGTTTGAATATTATCATTCAACATGAATGGGTGGCCTCACAACCAATATATAGTTGTACCCCAGTGGAACAACTTCATGTTAAACTGATGTACCAATCTGGCATATTGGCCCATCTGTACGTGGGAGGTTTTTTGGTGATATAATCATGCAGGTTAACCATCCATGCAATTGAAGTGACACGTCTAGATTTTTGGGGAAAAGCTGTTGTATATTCCCCGCATCTGCTCTTCATTGTCATAGCTACTTTGCTACCTCCCTGCAATCTGTATGAGTTGTGCGGTCTGAAGCTTTGAGTGAGAACACGCCTGATATGATTTACTTCTTTCTGCCCTGAATTAACAAGATGCTCAGTAACATTGTCTTGAAAAATAATGCATGCGAATGTGGATGTCAGATTGTTTTAAGGATTTGATTATGGTAGTTTTACCTATGACGATAACAAAATACAAAACACACACGAGTACTACTGAATTATGTTTTTCTATAGGTCATCAGATATGTTTGTGGAGGCGTTGGCTAGCAAATTTGTTAATTTTTGCACATAGTATCCAATTAGGTTTGCTAGATTTATTTTTTCATTCTATTAGTTGCAGGCCTCATATGATAACTTGCTTTCCTTTTGCCCGCAGGATCTTCACTAAGATATATCGAGCAGAGCTCATCACAACATCCTGTGACGTTCTCAACCATGTTATCCTTCACGATAAACATATTTTGAGGGAGACAAGAGAGCATCCAAGCACGACCATGTTGAACTTGATGTCTTGCTGTAGTACAAGCCGCTGTTGTCCCTTGATCCAGGTATGATTTCTGAAGATTATTTCACTAATTAGCTATACCCAGTGACCAGTGTAGATCTAGCACGTCCACTTCTAAATGAACAAGATATTTCAAGGTGATGCATCGTGTCGTGGTCGTTGTCTGTGCTATCCGTCTTCCTCATTTGTGCTAATTTGATTACTCTTTTTTGAAGGCAGTGCATCGTCGGGTTTCTCATAACATGTTGGTAGATTTTATTTATTGTCTTCTTAAGAAATAGATCGACCCAAAACATTGTTCATATTTACAGGTTGATTATTTTCATAGATTTATAATCCAAATACATGACCCACTACAAGATTACGAGCTTGGAGTCGTCCTTCTTGTTTAGGAGGGCAGATTTGGTACTAAACACTTAATTGGTGTTGATAGACTTGTACTGTGAAAAATAATGGTAATATGAACAGACTGATAGTGGTACACATAGGGTGACAAGGAGTTATTATTTTCATTCCTATATGCAACTTTTCTGGCACTAACCAATAGCATTGTGCTGCCAGAACACCGTATGCTTAGTACTGATTAAATTTTATTATCAGCAAGTCATATGCCTTGGTTTGGTGGTGCACACCGCAAGAGCTCCTTAAATTTAGGGACCCATCAAGCCACAGTTTCATGGTTCTCAAGAACATTTATCTCGAGAAAATTCCAAATATTTTGGTACCAAATTTGTCTTTTTGTCATCCCATTTTTCTGATGTAAGTTGGATGACCTTCATTCAGTTAGAAGTATGAGAACCGCAACAGCTGCTGAAGGGTTTGATTAAGTTAGAAAAGAACTTCCACAAAATCTTGTCACCAATAAAATTTACCTATAAAGGAATCATTTTAGAAAATAGATACAAGATCCTTATCAGTTTGAGATGTTCAACTCCCAACTTGTCTTCTTTGTTCTGTTCTGTGCAAGTGTATCTTGTTGTTTATGTGGATGGTGTACTTGTACATACTAAAATTGCGGGCAAAACAAAGTGATGGATGGTCTACAAGATGATATTAATGAATTAATCTTCAGGGTAAAATAATCTAACCAACATGCATCTGTTTAGTTTGAAATAATATTGCCTTCAAAATGTATGAATGCAGTCTTCGCATCTAATGTTGTAGAATCAAACATTGATGTTGCCTTACTAAGCATGTGTGTAAATTCTCTTGGGGAGAAAAAATATTCACTTGCAATTTGCAACATTGTCCTGAAAATACATGAGGTTCACACATATAATCATCTGTTTTATGTGGTTTGTTATTTGTGATCAATGCAAATGCTTAGGATTTTAAAAGTGTGATCAATGATCTCTATTTATATCAAGATAACTAATGGAAAACTGTCTTCGACAACTTTAAACCTAACTCTCGACACATTCAAACTTATAAAGTATGGTACCACCTCATATGATGAATATTACTTTGGCGCACACCTCGTCGCCCTTGATAGCGGCGGTGGATCGACATGAACACTAGGGGAGGGGATCAAGGCAGTGGATCGACATGAACACTAGGGGAGGGGATCAAGGCGGAGAGCGGGGCGGTTGGCGGGGGACTCCTCCTTGGCTGTCTGTACGGAAGTATGGTGTGAAGGACAGAGGGTGCCATGGTGATGATGAGGTGGGCGCCATCTGATTTTAAAGGAGTGAGCTTCCGGGAGAAATGTCTTGCTATGACGGAAAACCAAGCGGGAAGGGGAGGGTTCGACGGGAAAAGGGAAGGGTATGTTGTGGGGTGAGTTTTTTTAGGACCGAGTGCTGGAGACAATATGGTAGATAGTTCGGACACGGACTGTCCAGATGGTTGGATTTTGAGGAGCCTGCTGGAAGCTTGTTTGATATCCTACACGTTAGGACGTATGCGGGAAAAGGGAACTTCAACCTTGGAGACGACCTAATCGTTTCGTTGATTCATTTATGTGAATCGTGGCCCGTAGCAACGCACGGGCGTTTTACTAGTTTGGTTAGGAAAGTTTGAAAAGGTTAGGAAAGTTTTATTGCGATGGTAAAAAAATCAACATGAGGACATGACGGTGGGAGATGGGACGAAAATAAACCAGACGAGAAAAACCAACGAAATAAAACGGTTGAAAATGATGGGACGAAAATTAACCTTACTATTCAACCAACTCAGACATTAGGAGTAGAGATTACTCCTACTGTCTACAGTCTTAGACCAGTCCAGCTGCAGGTTCCGAACCAAAGTATCAGTAGCATGACCACCGAAGTGAAACTGCAGCAACGAAGCCACTAGGATGCACCTGGCGCTTGGCTTGGATCCATCACAACTAGATCAATATCCTATAAAGAAAATATAAAAGGAATACCTAAAGTACAATTACTTCAATATCGTCCCAGCTTATAGCTTACAAAAGGCACCATATGTTGCATGTTTTCCTAGAATCCCACGGAGGGTTTTGCCATATCTCGATCATCGGAAAACAACAAAAGAACTTTTCTCTCAAACTTTAGCAGTCACTCATCTATTTTAAGATAAGAAAGTGATTTGTGAAAAAACACCCTGTAGGCACATCACATGAATAGTTCCATCAAGTATCTTCCGTTGGTTGTTGCTGCAGTTCACTGGCATATAAGCGCAAACAAAGCAAAGCTGCTGCTGAGAGGCTACTGCGCAACCAATATTTGCGACACCGATCGATGAAGGAATCTCACCCACATGTCTAGACTCGCCATTACATATACTTTGATTTTCTTTATAAAAAAGAGAGGTTTTCCCTCCGATTAATTATTTAATACACTGTAGTACCACAAAATACAGTAGTAGTTAAATTGCAAATCAGATATATGGTACACGACTGACGATGGTACAACCCAAGAATGTTGTATGGGACCATGGTCCATAGATTCGGTTGAACCATGGTCCTAAAAATCACCTCTCCGGTACAACCTCGTACACACAATAGATATTTGCTTACGATCGAGCTTAGCTGCAACATTAAAGAGTAGCTATAGTAAGTGCAGCAAGCAGCTAAGTAGGCGGTCGATCGACATGGACCTATGGGTTGTAGTAGACGATCTTGATCTCGGTGACGCCGTGGCAGTTGCCGCCGGGGACGGAGTGCTCAAAGCAGTGGTTGCCGGTGTCGCACCCAGCGGTGGGGCAGTGCCCCTGCAGCGGGCTGCCGTGCGGGGTGACCGAAACGCGGACGGACATGCTCGCCTGGTTGGTGCTCACCTCGTAGTACGCCCCGCCCTCATGGTCCATGTGGAACTCGGCCACGGCGGCGCCCTGCGCGGACACGCTCCCTATCCACGCGCAGACGTCGAACGACTCGTGCTTCCCGCTGGGGAGCAGATACCCGTTGGGGAAGAGCGGCTTGCTGTTGGAGCGCGCCTCGATGCCCAGGGTCAGGTCGTGGCCGCACAGGTTCTGCACCGTCACCTTGTGGCCGTTGCAGGAGCCTTCTCCGGCGGCGGGCATGGCCATCGTCGTGGACAGAGCCACGAGCAGCAGGAGGGCCAGGGGCTCGGTCGACGCCATTGCCATGGCTTTGAGGATTAGGGACTGGCACGCACTGGTTTGGGCTGAGGTTTCTGCCTCAGGGTTGGGGGAGGGGGGGGGGGTATTTTAGCACGCGCCGGCTGGTTCCGCGCGTTTCAGCGGTGGCGGGAACTTACCGCTCGCGGAAAGCGTTTGCACGCGTGGGAGAAAGTGGCACGCGGCGCGGTAGATTTAGCGCGCCGCTTCGCGCGCGCCTATAAAATGCCGTGCTCGCCACGCGCACACACACAGCCATGCGCCCTCCCCTCGCAACCTCGTCGCTTCGCCACCTTGCCGCTTCGCCGCTTTCTGCGCCACCACCGCGCCACCATGCCGTTGCGCCGCCCGGGTTCTTCGAGCTACCGCGGCGTCCGCGAGCGCCCCAACGGCTGGTACTCCGCCGAGATCCGGTCTGACGACGTCCGGCTCGGCCTCGGGTCGTTCCGGAGCGCGTACGAGGCGGCCCGCGCGTACGGCGCGGCGGCGTGGCACTTGGATAGGTCCCGGTCGCAGATGAACTTCCGGGACGTCTTCACGCGCGAGAAGGCGCAGCGCGTCGCCCCTCCGCCGCGTCTCATCACCGACATGGACCGTGCCGACCATGCTCGGCGCTGCCGCCGCCTCCTCATAGCCGAGGAGGACGAGCGAGCCATAGCGGAGTGGCGCCGTCGCCACCCGGAGGACGTCGCCGACGAGCATGCCTACTGGGCGGAGAGGACGGCAAGGCGCCGCGCGGAGCGGGCGGACCGGCGTCGGCGGAAGGCATTGGCGAATGCGCAGTGCGATATCGTTGAAGCAGGTGGGAGGTCGATCTTCACGTCAGACGATGAACGTTGGGACGACATATGGCTCGATACCTCGGACAACACCGACGAGGATGATGATGGTGATGATGGTAGCGACTTGGAGTAGTTTCTATCTATGTATGCCGTAGTAGTTTTTATCTAGTTGCACCGTAGTTCTATCTATCTATGCTTTCGAATTATCTATCTAGTTGCACCGATGTAAAATACCTTCATATCGTTTTTTATCTTATTATCTATGCTTCCAAAAATGTTGTAAAATGAGCGCGCGTGCTGCATTTTTTGCGCGCTGATGGAGCGGCGCGCGCTGCATCTTAGCGCGGCTGCTGGAGCCAGCGGTGCGCGTCGCGTCAAACCAGGCGATGGACACACGGCAAAGCTATTTTTTGTACGCGGTGTGTTCGACGTATGGTAAAGATGCTCTAATAGATTCGAGAGTGTAAGGCGTCGCTAATTCATCTTGGACGGCACTGCATGCACGCCAAAAGTTTGGCGCCGATCGTTTTTTGTTCGCGGCGTGTCGTGTTCTGGTATTCGGCCAAACACGCCTAATTTTACGCTGTGTAGAAAAGAAGACTGCTCATCGTCTGTTATTTCTCCGTAAAGCCGACCAGCACGGCACGAACTTTGCCTCCCGCAAAAAAGGACGCATAGGACACGGCCTAGTGCAGGGCAGATTTGCAACCCCATGGTAGCTTTTGTTTAGCGATCGATCCTTTGCCTGAACACATGAGCCTCTTAAGAGCATGTACAATGGTTGATAAGACCGTCTTATCTTATGTTTTGCATGTAATTTAGAAATGACAAAAAAGGTATATTTACAATGGGTTATATCTTAGCCTTATCTTCAATAACTAGTAATTCCTTAAAACATGATGAGACAAATTGTGCTAAGAGATTATCTCTTGTCTTATCTTAAATAAGAGAAGACAAGTCTTTTCTTATGAGTTTTCTCTCCTCCACCTCATCATTTATCCTACATGACACTCCTAAGATAGCATCATTGTACATGCTCTAAGAGCTTAGGCCCCGTTTGGCAGCAGAGTATTGCAAAAACTGCAGTAATGAAAAATTAGAGTATTTTAATCTATAGGTACCAGATACCACAGTTTTGGTAACAGAACCCCTAACCTCCCGGGTTGCTTCACACGACTCCAGAGTTGCCGCCGTGGCACCTTGGGAGACCCTCCCTCGCAGCGCCGTTCACCACGCTGCCGAAGGAAGCCGGCCGCTCGGCGGACGGCGGCGGCGGGGCATCTCCCACCTCTTGTTTTTTCTTTTATTGTTCCCCTTGGTCGCCTTCCAATCTAGCCGCTAGCTTCTCGATCTGGCAGCTACCTGGTGATTCCGGCCTTCCGATCTTGATGAAATCCGTGGCCTAGACTACCGTGCAGGGCTGGTTCATGGACGCATCCACACGGCTGTTTCATAGGTGCACATGCGTGCAGATGCTCGTCCAGGGCTCCAGGCTGCCGGCTAGCTGCAGCACATATTGATAGCTGCTTGGTCACCTAGGTCTTGGCGGGCAGCGGCATGGCCGGGTCTTCACAACTAGGTGGAGTTGGCAGATCTGCTTTATCGCTTCTGATTGCGTCATCGGGAATTGGATCCGGGACAGCGGCGGTCTCGCTGTGGATTGTGGTCACCATCAAAAGACTTTCTGAAAGTTCATCTTCAAAGATCCTGTGGTTGACTTCGGTGGCGAGATGCAAACTATGGATGAAGTCTTGATGCAGAGGGATGGTTGTGCGGCAGCGGCGGTCACACCACATGTAGCTGCTAGGATTGTGAAAAAGTGGTGGCGCCAACACATGACTGACTTCGATGGTGGTGCTACTTGAGCACCTGGTCTTGAGCTTCGGGGTGAAAACCTATGTTTGGCTCGAGTTGGATATACCTGGCAATGGCGATGTTTTTACTTTGTTACCTTGTTGAAGGCTGAAATGCTCGGGCTGATTCTTCAGGGTGAAAACCTTAGATTGTAGCCTTGGGTGGCTCGATCCGGTGACGGTGACATTCGAGTGTTGCTCCCTTCCTGAAGACGTTGCTGTTGAAGAACCTCATTATTTGTGTGGTGTCATGCGATGGTCGGTGCAGATATGGTCATTGCTATAGTTTGTCGATCCAGGATCGGATTGCTTTGGGCATCTTTTTCTTTTTTCCTCGTCTAAAAACTCATAGCTTTGGTCTTATATGACTTTGCTATTTGACAGCGTGTTTTTGTGTGTGTGTGTGTGTTGGTGTTGGCTGTGTGCATCCTAGCTATGCAGTGGCCGGGTGTATGCTCATCGTATTTGTATCTTTTTTATGCTTCATTTTGAATCGATAAAATACACCCTTTAACGAAAAAATACCATAATTTTGTCATATCAAAGTATTTCGTAGTATTGAGAATACTGTGACGTGTTTGGTTGACGCTTGACGCTTGTTTACGATGACGTAAATTAGCTAGCTGTAATTCTCAAAAAAAAATTAGCTAGCTGTCTCATAGCAGTTACAAACATGCGTGTTCTTAGCTGGCCAGTGATGGACAGAACGGCCATGGACGCACAGACAAACCCCGTGGCATGCTAGCTATCAACGTTGGTGGGAGCACATCGAAGCGACATATGGCAGCTTGCACCGTCGCTCTGGCTTGGCCAACAACGGCGCATAGCGGCGAGCGCAAGCGGTCGAGGCAGTGCATTCGCCACTAGCAGCGGCGAGCAAGGCCGCGACATGGCAGCAGGGCACACGTACGACACGGCTATGACCGCATGCAATGAGACATATGCAGGCTCGGCTAGCAGTACGTGGGGGCTTGTGTTGCAGTCATCAGCGGGACCATGGCTTGAGGTGGCCAACGGGGCTGACTAGATGCACGACTCATAGGAGGAGAGAGGGAGGAGCGCAAGCGGAAGTATGATGGACACCAGTTTTTCCATTGCCGTCGTATGTATTGAGTATGTATTTTGTTCTGTGTGTATTGAAGTTGTGGCCCACCTCCTAATTTTGTATATTTGAGATAGAGATCTTCCCTTATATTATATATGCGTGCATCAGCACTCTAAATCAATATATCGTATTGTAAATTATCTGTCTACATGGTATCATCCTTTCCAATCTAACCCCAGGGTCAGCCGCCGCCGCCGCCACCGCCGCGCCGCTGCCGCGGCCGCAACCCATCACCGCAACGCCGCTGGCGCGCCTTTCCTCCCATTACCTCGCGCCGCAGCTGCCTTGCCATTTCCGCCTGCACGTCCTGAGCCGCGTAGCCGCTGATGTATTCACGCCTCGTAGCTAGCTAGCAGTGTAGACATTGCTAGCTAGCCACGCCCGCTAGCCAGTCGCCCCGCGCCGCTTTAACATTCCCCCCGCCAGTCTGCGTCGCCAGCACCTGCCGGCTACTACCCGCTGCCGTCCGCGCCTCCCCAGCAGCCGCAAGGTGGCGGCGGCCGGCGCAACCGGCGGGGTGGCGGGGGCCGCCGCCAGCAGCAGCCGCAGGGTGCGGGGGGAGGGCGCTCCACTTCCAGCAACCGCCTTTTCCATGGGCCGCCGGTCAGAACCCGTGGACGGGCGTCGTCCATGCCTATCATATGCCCATCCCGCGGGCTCCTGCAATGGGTCTCCTTGGCCCCCGTCCAGCGGGCCATCAGGCGTTCGTTGGCGCCCCCTACCAGCCCTACGGTGCCCCGTTCGCGCCGCCATCCCTTGGCGGCTACGGCGCGCCCGCCCAGGCGCCGCCCTATGAAGGCCAGCTGCCGCCGCCGGCACCTATACCGTGGGACCCAGCCCTCCTGGCCGCCCTACACTCGGCGCCGTCGCTGAGCGAGTATGGCGGTGGATTCGATTGGTACATGGATTCGGGTGCTACTGCGCACATGACAACTCATCTCGGTAACCTTTCCTCCTCCACTCCCGTTCACACTCCCACTCACATCACCGTTGGCAACGGTTCCTCTTTACCCATCACCCATGTCGGTAGCACTAGTTTTCATTCCAGTTCCACACCTATCACTATGTCCACCGTTCTTGTTTCACCTGACATAGTCACTAGCTTAGTCTTTGTTCGTCGTCTTACTCGTGAGAATCCTCATACTGTTGAATTTCACAGTGTTTGTTTTTCTGTGAAGGACGTCCGTACCCGGATGGTCCTTCACCGATGTGATAGTCCTGACGAGCTTTATCTCGTGCACGCCGGCGCCTCCACTTCCACACCCGTCG